CTCTGCAGCTGCGCACACAAACACACGGGTTAAACGACTAGCATAAACTGTTGGGACCTAGGATGTCCTGTCCAGGTCCCAAGTGTGTTCTTAGATCAATTCCTTGCTAGCGTACCACCTGGAGACTTTTTGAAGAGGCAAGTGTGTTCTTGTAAATGGATTGGTAGCAGACTGAGGGGATATGGATTGTCTTGTGTGTGTACCAGCTCCCTGACAGGGGCAGGCTCACAGTTGCATTTCCCAGGTCATGGTCACTGCCTCCCAGGCAGCTTTTAGCAACTGTCTAGACATTCTTCAGTGAGATGGTACCAGCTGCCCAGATCCACCAAAGGAAAGGCTTTAAGCTTGGAACAGAACCTGACCACACTTAGTATTCAGTAAATGTTTGTTCACTGATTTCCTTCTTATCTCTGCAGCTCCAGAAGCGCTTCATCTTGAACCTGCCTACCTTCAGCGTTCGGGTCATTGACAAAAATGGCATCCATAACCTGGAAAACATCACCTTCTCTAAGAAGGGCTCCTAACATCTCGTCCTTCCTCCTATTCATCAGGGGACTTTTTTGATAGGCTCCTTAATCTTTTTTTTCTACCCTTTTGCCGTACACTCTTGATAGATGGTTAATTCAAAATAAAGCTGAAAATAGCTAAATTGAGTTTTCTGGTTTAGTCTCAGTTTACCTAACATCGTGTAGAAAGGAACTAGACGGAGGGTTATCATCTTGCTGGGATACTCCCTCCTGTTTGTTCCATTCCTCTGTTAATGATCTGAGTGGCTCTGCCAGCTCACAGCCCCACACTCTGTCTCCCTGTGCAGCTTCTTCCATCCGGCTCTTTCAATCTCTGCTTGTTAATGTCTTGCTGTCTCTAAAGCAGTGGATCTCTTTGCTTTTAAGCTTAAATCTTTTTTTTGTTGGCTGGATGTGGTGATACACGCCTTTAATCCCAGTGCTTGGAAGGCAGAGGCAGGTGGATCTCAGTGAGTTTGAGGCCAGCATGATCTACAAAGCACTGCAGGACAGCCAGAACTATTACACAGAGAAACCCTGTCTCGGGAAGAAAATCTGATGCCTGTTTTGTTTTGAAATACATGTGTGCAATATGGAGGACAGAACACAACCTTGGGCATTGTTCTCAGGAGCACAGTCTGCCTTACCATGTTTGGTTTTATCAAAACCATGGATTCTGGGGATCCAACTCAGGGCCTCATGCTTCTGAGGCAAGCATTTACCAACTGAGCTGTGTCCCAGGCCTCACATCTTTTCCAGTTGATTAATTAATTAATGTGCTTGGGAAATGTGTCTGCATTTCCCAAGCACATTATCCCTCCTGTTTCTCAGAACATTTCATCTACTTGTTTCTTACATGTTTCTTTGTTTGAGACAGGATCTCATGTAGCCCAGGCTGGTCTTGAACTCTTTGTAGCTAAGGACGACCTTCAACCCTGTATCCTTTCTTCACTTTCCAAGAAGCAGTGGACACAGGCCTGCTTCACTATGCCCCTTGTATTTTGGGTGTTGGCAAGGGGGATATCAGGGATGGAACCCAGAGGCTTGTGCTGGTAGGCAAGTGCTCGGCCACCCAGCTCCATTTTTAATCCCTTTTTACCTTTTGTTTGTCACAAGGTCTTGCTAACTTGCCTAAAATGGCCTTGAACTAGCTATGTTACTCAGGCTGGCCTTGAATTTGTGATCTTCCTGCCTCAGCTTCACTAGTAGCTAGGATTATGTGTTTTTACCATCAGGCCCAGTTAGCTTGCTTGCATGCATGCTTTTTATTTTATTTTTAGTGTATGGGTGTATGGCTGCATGTATGTCTGTGTACCATGTTTGAGCCTAGTGCCAGGAAAGGTCATTGGATCCCCGGGGGCTGGAGTTTACAGATGGTTTTGAGCCATTATGTGGGTCCTGGCAGTCAAAACCAGGTCCAGCTTTCTTCCCATTTTTAAAGATACAAATATGCAGCCAGGTGGTAGTGGCACACACCTTTGATCCCAGCATTTGGGAGGCATAGGCATGTGGATCTCTGAGTTCGAGGCCAGCCTGGACTACAGAGCAAGTTCTAGGACAGTCAGAGCAACACAGAGAAAACCCTGTCTTGAAAAACCAAAAATAAATAATGGTTCCACATATGGATCAGTTTTCAGTTTGTCTGAGAGAAGCATATCCTGTTTCTCAGATTGCTGTCATCATTCATATTCACAATACTGAGTGAAAAGCCAGTTCTGGTGTCTTCAGGCTTCCGTATACTCTGATGCTGAGTGCTTAATGCAGTAAGAATTGGATGGAAAGAGAAGAGTCGCATCACAAATGATTCTGCCTCCAACATCGAGTGAAGAGGTTTGGACCCTCTGCTAGGTTCCTTGATCTCTAGGTATCTGCCTGAAGAGTTCTGCCGGCGCTTCTCGTCGCCCCTTGGGTGTGGCCCTGCTGAAGCATCAGCGTTGTATAAAATGATTGAAAAAGGACCTACTTCACAGCAGTCTAGAGTGTTCTATGCAGTGATAGTGCAGAACCTGGTGTTAGGAAATGCTCAATAAACATAGCACATTTGCTCTATGAACAGGACTTAACCAGGAGTGAAAAGCTCACTGCCTTTCAATGTACATGTCTCCAGACAGCCTCATGCAAACCCAAAAACCCAGCTGTCTGTCTTCACCCTCTCTTTTTTGAGTTACGAATCAAGATACTTCAACCTCAGCTTTAGGGACAGCAAGCACATCAACATGTCTAAAGCTGACCTTACTACCTACCCAACTCCACACCTATCTAGTCTTTCATCTTACAGCTACCTCTGCCAGAAACATAGAGTTTTGTTTTGTTTTGTTTTTTAATTGTATGTTGGGGCTAGAGAAATGGCTCAGTGGTTGAGAGCACTAATTGCTCTTCCACAGGACCTGGGTTCAATACACAGCACCCACATGGCAGCTCACAACTGTCTGTAACTCCATTTCCAGGGGATCCAACACCCTCACATAGACATGCACGCAGGCAAAACACCAATGCACATAAAAAAGGTATGTGTGTGTGTCAGAGAACAACTTGTAGGTTTCTCTTTCTGCCTTGTCCTGAGGGTCAATCTAGTAGTCGGGTAGGGTGCAAACATCTTTAACTCACTGAAGCGTCTCACTGGCTCTCATTTATTTTAAATGAATTGTTTTTGGAATTACTGGTTTTACAGACAAGTTACAAAGATAGCAGTTCCCGTAGAGCTCTTACTACCCAGTTTGTGCTAACCGTAGTGTCTAACATAACTATGGTGCATAATTTGTCCAAAACAAGAGGCTGACATTGACCCACTAACATTAACACTAGCTTTTGTTCAGGTTTCATGTTTTCCTCTTGTCCCTTTTCTGCTCTCTGCAGTCCATGCCACCCACGTTCCATTTTTTATATCACCCTTTATTTTCTTGCTATCTTCACATAGTAACCAGCTTTTGCCATGTCTACTGCCTAAATCCCTTTGAAGTCTCTATGACTTTGAGACAGGGTCTCTGTATCATGGGCTGTCCTGGAACTTGCCGTGTAGACCAGACTGACCTCGAGCTCCCAGTTGTCTGCTTTGGTGGACTATGCATTGCAGAGTCTCCAACCATTCCAGTTCCCTGGGCTCCTTTCCCTCTTGCTTGTCATAAAACTAAGAGTCCACTTAGTTGGATCCTGAGAAATTTGTCCTTAATGCCTCAAAAAACCAAAAAAGGAGTTAGTGTGGCTACTATAAAGTGAGTGATGAGAATTGTTAGAGATTGGAGAAGCCAGCGAAGTTCACATCATTGCATAGCAAGGCCTTTGGATGGAGGTGCACCAGTGAAATCAGACTGGGAGGCTGCTGTCGCAGGCCTGCAGAGGAGTGATGGAGAGAAGGGATCAAATAGGACTCCCCATTCCTGGTAGAGGTGGTGCCATTAGCAAAGATGGATGGGACAGGTAGGAGGCATTCAAGATTGCATTGATTCAGGCACCCCATATGGGACCTGAGTTTGAGGTGCTTGTTAGCCCATATGGCATAGACACCAGGAAGTCAGGACAGTTGAGAGCTGTCTGGGCTGAAGGGAAAGGTCAGCAGCATGTGGCATAGGAAGCCCCTCATGGAATGGTACCATCTAGGGAGACTTTGGCCCCGAGAACCAAGATTTAGAAGTTGAGTGGAAAAGGATCAGGCAAAGAAGGTAGAAAGGGAACTGGCCAGGTCAGGTGAGACAGGGAAAAGCTGGGAACCACACCGAATTTCAGAAAAGACCAAGCGCACCTACCTGGTGTGGCACACTTCTAGAACTCGGCCAGACTATTTCAGAGGCCAGCCTGGCTTATGTGAAAAACTGTCCGAAAAAGATTTTAAGGGCAATTTTTTGGCTAGTCACATCAAAAACAAAAATGTCTTTAGCTTTTAGGTGATCATTGTTGGCCACGCTGAATAGGTTTAAATGGACTGTCAGGGAGGGGTGTTAGTTGAGAGTCAGGAGTGAGGGAATACAGAAAGGGGTGTCTTCCAAAACTTTTAACTGCAAAAGAAATAAGCAGGATTTGAGTTTTGCAAGGTGAATCCTAGAATTATATGTGCTTTAGGTATGATCTAGTAGATTAAGTAGAGGGAGAAACTAATCAGGAAAGATGGATGTCTCAAGAGTGAAATCCTTCAGAAGATGAGAGCCGAGTCAGCGTTTGCCCCATTCAGATAGTCATCTGTATCCACACTGGCAGACACTACCTACAACCATGGTAACACGGCATCAACCAAACAGACAGGCCCAGGAAGTCACAAGTATGTGCACTGTATTCACTTGGTGACACACACAAATGGCCATACTGATGTGACAAGGCGTGTAGACTCCTAACATCAGTACCCACATGCAGAAGAACCTAATTACAGTACCTTTCTTCTCAGATCCCTTTGTGAACGAGAACACCCCTCATCACGGCCCGGGTAGACTCTTTGGTACGAGAGCAGAAGTCTGTCAAATGAACCCCCAACTCATTAGGAAAAATAACTCATTCTGGACGATCTTAAATTTTCAAATTTAATTATATTGTACATAAATAAATAGGGCAGACAGCAGCAAGTCTGTGATGTACAGCCTGGGTTCAAGTTCTGTGATTTGTGCTGTACCATCTTTGTTCCTCGGGGGCCTCTCCTGCCCACTCTTCTCCAAGAGCAGGAAGGATCCAAAGAGCCCACTGGGACCTCCTGCTAGCCCTCATGTTCTAGGGCTAGGAGATTTCTGGAGTGAAGGTCACTAACTCCTCAGTAGCACCTCTGGCTTGGGGCACCCACTGCTGCCCAGGCATCTCAGTGGGAAGAGCTCTGTCCCATGAACCAGACTTTTCCATGACAGTTTCCTGTTGGAGACTTACCAGAAACCTCCTTCTCTGACCCAACCTGGTCCACTAGGGGCTTCTGGATAAATGTTCTCTCTGGCCTGACTGGAATCCCAGCAAGGCCACCACAGTAGCCAAGACCTCATCTCCGGCATTGGGAGTCACTTAGCTACAGAACAAGACAGTTACTTCCGATGCTTAGCGTCCTTCTCTGAAGCCTTGGTTTCTCCATGCCCACTCCCTGCACTGCTTAGAAACATCTTGTCCAGTCCTTTGAGTGACTCTAGCAAGTAGTTCTGGAAGGCAGTGAGGGCAGCACAGATGGCCGGTCCACCGAAGCCGTGGGTGATGAGGCTGAAGTGTGTTAGACAGCTCTGGACCCCAGGCTCCAGGATGAGTGCTGGGCGGCTGTTGCCCAGCGGGGAGCGGTCCTGAGCCATCATGTCTGCAAACTCCTTGCAGATCTGCCTGGTGGGGGAAGAACAGTCAGGTTAAAGAACAAAGTTCTAAGCCCAGAGAAGGGCCTACTTGCTGGTTCTTTTTGAGACAGAGTTTCTCTATGTAACCCTGGCTGTCCTAGAACTCTATGTAGAAGACCAGGCTGGCCTCAAACTCAGAGATCTACCTGCCTCTGCATCCCAAATGCTGGGATTAAAAGCATGGACCACTTTACCCAACGATTTACTGGATTCTTTATTTACACTATACAGTTTGGCCTTTGATACCATTTTGCAAAACCGGAAACTGACTTTCACAGAAATCCACTCAGCAGGTCAGTGCTACACATGTGAACAACACATGCCAATGCCCTAATTTCTCTCCCTTAGATGTCCTGTCTACAGAATGCAACTCAGCTGTCTATTCCCTTAAGCTTTCTGTGATCCCTTCTTCCACCCCAAACACAGTGCTTCACAGAACCTTGTCTGTGAAATTATGAGAGCAGCCCAGAATCTGCCTTACATAACTAAAATAGCAGCAAGTATTGATGCCTAGATCAATACCATGTATACTATGTGTGCCATCTTATATCATCCAACAAATCTATAGCATTATCCTCATATGCTTCCAGGCAGATTAGGTGGTCTAATCTGTATGCCATTTTACATCGTCCAACAAATCTGTAGCATTATCCTCTTCATATGGTTCCAGACAGATTAGTGGCTGAGATGAGACTCGAATCCAGACCCAGCCCATGGCTGTTTCCATTCCTTTGTATATCATATATGTGACTCAGGCCAGAGGATCCATCATCACTCATCTTTGTGTCTGGCCATGCGTCTTAGACAAACCAAGATCCCAAGAGCTTGATGCAAGAATATGATGACTCATATTCATGAATGAAGTGGGCTCCATTTGGACAGGCTCCTCTATCACAGGAAGAAGACTTCCAGGACTCTCTACTGAGTGGTCCTATGAGTCTGGGAGTCTGGGTCCTTTGCTGCCTAAAGGAGGAAAGCCCCACATGGAGGGCAGAGTTGTGACTGAAGGCCAAACCCACAAAGGTCAGTGGGAATAGAAGTTCGAGTGATCCAGACTGTGAGGTGCTCCAAGGCATCAGAACTTCAGCCTGTAGATGGTTCTGAGCTCTCAATCTCTTCCAGCCCGGTCCTCCCACCTCTCTTCTGCCTTCCAAATGAATGTTTGTAGCCTTCTGGATCTTATATATTGAAATCTTCCCTGAGATATGAAGATAGAGCCTTTGGGAGGTGATGAGGTCATGGGGATAGAACACTATAGACCAGTGGTTCTCAACCTTCCTAACGCTGTGACCCTTTTAATACAGTTCTCATGCTTTGGTGACCCCCCCCACCCGCCATAATATTATTTCAGGGCAGCTTCATATCTGTAGTTTTGCTATTATGAATCATGATGTAAATAGCTGATACGTGAATCTCTAATGGGGTTGTGACCCACAGGTTGGGAGCCACTTGCCATAGGTGCTGGTGAAGGAACACAGCAGCATCAAGTGCCAGCTATATGTTAGAAAGCAGGCCCTCACCAGACACAGGGGCTGTCTTGATCTTGAACAGCCTCCAGAACCATGAGAAATGAGCCACTACCTGGCTTAGGGTATTTTATTATAGTGACCTAGGGGTAAGATGAGAAGACCTGGGGGCTGGAGAGATGGCTCAGAGGTTAAGAGCGCTGACTGCTCTTCCAGAGGTCCTGAGTTCAATTTCCAGCAACCACATGGTGGCTCACAACCATCCATAATGAGATCTGGTGCCGTCTTCTGGTGTGCAAGCATGCATGCAGATAACTGTATACATAATAAATAAATAAAATCTTAAAAAAAAAAAAAAAGATGAGAAGACCTGAGGGCAGCTGACAGCATACGGTCAGTTCTGAGGGAAGTGGCAGTGGGACCTGCAGAGCCGTCAAGAATGGCCTGAGGACTTCAGGAGAAAGGTCACAGAAGCAGAATAACCCCTGAGGACTCATGCCAGGGCCTGGGCTGGTCATGCCACGGATTCATGTAAGTGGGTGTAGCATCCACACATGGGCTGTAAGCCTGTATATGACACTTTTTTAATGTATGCACATAATAGATACATTCACTTATGATGTCAGTGTGTGCCCTTGGGAGCTTATGGGAGTGTTCATAAAAGTCCAAATGTGATGAGCATGGTACCTAAAGATATCTATAAATATCCACATGTGCCTATATGGCATGTACAAGTGTTCCCATGTGCACTTCAACAAGGAATCTAGCTGCCATATATGGCACCATATGGACTGTATAAACATGCGTATACTCATAAGTAGTATCCCAGGTCTAACGTGTGTCTGCATTGCATCCATGTTTGCCATGCACAGAGTCCCACTCACTTGGCAGCCAGCAGCATGCTCTTTCGGCTGTGCAGTTCCCCAGGGTCAGCGTGCTGTCGGCATAGGTACTCAGCAGCTGCTTTGGCTGGAAACTCAGTCTCACAAACATAGCCAAAGTCCCGAGCCAGATGCACAGCTTCTCCTGGGGAAAGAGGAGATGTTACCAGGTGTACCTCTGAGACTAGAGCCTAGACTTGAACTTCTTATGTCCTGGCTAAGGAGCACCCTGCTTCTGGAGACACCCTCTGGCTTCTTTTCTCAGTTCCAATTCATGCCCATCACCTTTGGCTCAGAGATGGAGCTGGGGCCAGTGAGTTTCCCAGAACCAGAGTCTGAAGTCACCAACCTCAAATATTGGCCACTTGCCCTCCCCCCCCCACCCCAAGTAGTTGTACTGTGTGTGCACACATATGCACAGACACATGACAAAAAGAATTAGTTTCAGAGTTTCCCACAGATAACAAAATAAGTGGGTACTGAAATTCCTTACATGAAATGGCATGGCATTTGCATATAAACCTACTTGCATCCCCCGGTATGTTACAAATTGTCTCTTGGTGACTTAAAATACCTAGTACTATATAGATGCTATGTATGTAAATAGTTCCATGCATTATTGTCTGCATGTGTTCAGCACAGGGGCAACTTTTTCAAATATTTTGAACCATGTATGGGTGGTTAAATCCTCAGATGTGCTGACTGTCCACATGTTTCATGCACATACTTCTTTATACATGACACACTGAATACATGCACGGCACAGCAATGTTCACATACATAACTAAACGATACCCTCCTACATTAGGAAGTCTCACCAGATGATATGTCATATGCATAGTCTTCAGGCCTTACCTTCAACCAGTGAGGTCAGCAGAGTCACATTGGCTGCCTTCCGACGGCCAGCTGGCAGGTTGAGCCCAATCTTCTCCAGACGTTCCCGCAGACACCGGCCCCCATTCTTGGACTTTGCCCTTAACATATGCAGACAGAGACACACACGTAACTATGAAGATGAGAGAGCAGCCTACAGGCTAGGCAGCACCAAGGACCTTCCTTGTTCCTTATACCAGCCCCTGTTAAGGCTTGTGGGTAGCCTTGTCCTTAGGGTCTCTGAGCAAATCCCAACCTCTCCTGAATCTCTATTGTGCAGTCAGGATTGGGGTAAAGAGCATCACCCCACTTTAGGAATCTTCAGCCCAGGGTGGGAAGGACAGGGTAGCATCTGAGGGTCCTTCTTCCCCACCTTAGCACATTTTCTGGGGACACATAAAACTGTGTACAGAGATACACAAGGATGACAAATACAAGGAGACACAACTATACACAAAGCCAATTACATATACACAGATGAACCCATCCTCAGTGTATCCAAGAACATGGAGACACATAAATAATATCAGAGACACACAGACATGAACACCAAGGAACATACAGAGACATGTGTACATCAGGACCCCAAAGATGAATACACACTCCCTGGGACTCAACACAGGTTCGTACAGGATGTTCAGAGACCAAGAGTAAGAGGATAGCCTCTAACTGCACAAATGTGCCTCCCCCCCCCACCCACACACACAGATACACACATGTAAACAACTAGTTGCATGGAAAAAAGAAAAAAATGTATGAGAGGGCATAAGAGTTCCGGCTGTTCTTCCAGAGGTCCTGAGTTCAATCCCCAGCAACCACATGGTGGCTCACAACCATTCAATATGAGATCTGGTGCCCTCTTCTGGTGTGCAGATATACATGGAAGCAGAATGCTGTATATATAATAAATAAATAAAATCTTTTTTAAAAATGTATGAGAGAAGAATAAATAAAAAAATAAGCCAGGCGGGCCAGGCATTAGTGGTGCATGTCTTTAATCCTAGCACTCAGGAGGCAGAGGCAGGCAGATCTCTGTGAGTTCGAGGCCAGCCTGGTCTACATGAGTGCCAGGATAGGCTCCAAAAGCTACTCAGAGAAATCCTGTCTCGAAAAACCAAAAAAAAAAAAAAAAAAAAAAAAAAAGAGGGGGGGGGGA